TTTCTTCCATTGGAGTTCACAAATTTTTGGGAAGCCCCTCATGCAGTCATTCCATGTTATGCATTGCAGGCTCCAGGAGGGAGGGCAACTATTATGCAACACTAGTACGTGGGTCATCCCAAAAGTTTGAGAGCATTTTATTCTACATCAAGTTGAAACACCAAATGCAGCATTTTTCCAAGTGAACTTTCTTAATATACTTCCCATGCAGTGGCACACACTTCTGCCACCATTCTATCAGCTTCTTGAGTCCTTCAGCAAACCAGTTTGCTGGGGTCACTTGAACCCACTAGATGGCAGTGGGAGCATGCTCCAAGTGTGCACCAAGGTCAGGTTGATCTTGGCGAATCATCCACTGTATCCCATTCTGCCTCAAAGCGATGCATCCACTTATTTATGGCTCTTTTGCTGAAAGCTCTATTCCTGCAAACTTATTGCAGCTCACGACCTGTGACTTTTTCTGCTTCCACAGAAACCAAATCCGACCTCGCTGGAGCCGATCATTTTCTTCCATAGTGGTAAAATGCAGGTCTATTTAAAAATGCAATATCTTTGCAATGGGAAGGAGTAGTAACATGATCATTCCTACATTAGTACCATGAGACATCAATATGAACACTATTGTAAGACTGTTGCTGCTGGATCATATGCAAAGAAAATATTCACATTTGTTCTCAAACTTTTGGGATGACCCTTGTACATCATTGGATGTGAATGGGTTAAAGTTAGACTTCATTGAGTCTTCCTTACCTCTCATGGATAACTATGAAAAATCTTGCAAGTGATGCATGACCTGTAGAAAAGAATCATAACCCCCCTTCCCCTTAATTCACCACTGCTTATATGTCATGTTCCAGTTTCGGTCTCCTTCATTCTCCCCCTTGCTACACCACTGCACAGATGATGGATAAAAACAGAGAATAACTTTTTGACTACCATGTTCATTCTTGTCCTGCTTCATCATAGCATTGAAGTACATGAGTGCAATAATTAAGTTAAGCCTATACCACTTTAACTTTGCATTAACTTTAACATTTTGTGGACATCCACCCACCCTTAAAGACTGGTGGGGCAGCTCCACCTAAGCATGGTATTGATCCCCAGTCATGGCATTCTAGGTATGCCAATCACCAATATTTATATTGTAAACATCTTTTGGATGAACGTGTGCCACAAGTTCAATCCAATTGGAGACAGACTCATTTGCCCAGCTCAAATACCTTGTCATGACTGCATCAGACTATTTACCTGGATCTCTTGAGAACACCACAATAGGAAAGGAATAAAAAGGAGGGCAGGCTTTTGGGTCTTCAGATTCCACATGGAGAGCATGGAAACATTCAGTGTGAGTTGACAGGGAGATGGTCAATGGTTTAAAAAAAAATGGACCACCACCAGGATCCAGAGTATATTGTTGACATTTCAGTCATCAGGTAATTTGTTAAGTCATAGTCTCATAACTTCTCAATATCCCATAACCTCTTGTCAGTCACAAGGTCACATTAATGTCAAAGACATGCAAGTGAAGAGCAATTCCAACTTGGAGTAAGCAATCAAAGGTACCATGAATGGGAGCAATCTTGAATTAGACTAGATTGGTCTGGACTGTGACTTTTGATAGTACAATTGCTTTCCAGCAAGTAACAGGCCTTATATACACACTTTTGCTATGCTAACAGTCATGTGAAAACTGGATTTTCAGTGAGCAAATTCACATGTGCTGTAATGTGTTGAATCAACCCTGGTTTTCCTAATGTTATGTCATGTCAACAAACACAACCAACAATGGAATCAAGGAATTGTGTTCCTACAGTTTACCCTGTCTCCAATATTTCCCTGGATTTTGCAAAAAAAATTTAGGAAGATTTCTCCTGACTGAGATTAGTATAGTATAGGTTTTCCCAATGAATATCGGCAAAAGTCCATTCAAATTCGGCAGCGGCCGTTTCAATTTCGGTAGTGCACCTCTCTCCTCCCAGTTATTCCATTCAATTTCGGCAGGTGACTTTTGATTTCAACATTCACCATTTCAATTTTGGCAGTGCAAGGAAATATCTTGTTTCTGGTAATTAACACAGGAATGAGGAATAAGGAAGGAAAAGGCACAAACACATAGGGTATTTTCGGTGAATGATCATTATTTTAATATGCAAAGAAATTGGACATTGACACTGATTCTATCTATTGATATGTTCTCTTCTTTTGGCATCTAATCAAGTATGTTAGTGTGTGGCAAAACCATGCAAAGCACTTCTATTTTCTTCTATTTGCCCAACTGATGCCTCTCCTATTTCGAGCAGTTTCTCTGTCCGACTTTGCTGCAAGTTTTGTTCTGGTCTTTGTCGTCCAAGTTCTTCCTGTGTTTCAGGAAGGTACACCTCACATTTGACAGCTGCCTTAAATGCAGAGTGAGCACCTTCTGTCGGATTCAAGAAAGGAGAATATGCTGGCAGAAACTTCACATGAACGTTAGGAAAGTCATCTGGGACCGAGGCTCGTTTGTGGGGTCTAGCATTATCCATGATAACATAAACTGGTTGATCTGTTGGTGAAATCATGTGTGCATGTTTCAGGAGCTCCTCAAAGAATTCCTGGAACGTCAGCGATGTGACGCGTTCCTGTTGTTCCTTTGTAGTAAAAGATTATTCCAAGCATGGAAACGAACATGAACACATCCTATGTGGAGGATTCATAGAAAGGAGCAGCCGATTTCAAATATTCAGTTCCAGTTCATCATCTTAGACGATGCTAGACTCCACAAACAAGCCTTGGTTCCAGATGACTTTCCTAACATTCACTGGAAGTTTCTGTCGGCATATTCGCCTTTCTTGAATCTGACAGAACATACCCATATCACCCATCAGAAATGCTTTGCGTGGTTTCGCCATGCACAAACATACTTGATCAGGTGCCTAAGGAGAGAACTTATCGATGGGTAGAATCAGTGTCAATGTCCATGTGTTTTCCTTTGCATCATAAAATAATTATTATTCGACAAAAAAAAAAAACCCTATGCGTTTGTGCCCTTGCCTGCCCTGCAAAAATTGAAACGGCCGCTGCCGACTTTGAATGAACTTATGCCGAAATTCGTCGGGAAAACCTATACTATGACCTTAGTTTCGGCTCTTGCTTTTGTGCTTCAATGACATAATGAGATTTGGTCTCATAGACATACCAAGTCCAATTGCTTGCTTTTGCTTGCTCCACACACTTGAGATACTTGTATAGTCTCTCTATGGAAGGGACTATATGGAGGTATACAGACATTTTATGTAGTCTCATATATTCAAACTAAATTATCTTCATAGTTCCACTGCATCAGTAGTCATGCCATTGGGGATGGCAAAGAAGCTGTCTAGCAACTTTTTCCATCTACTTCTGTATTTCCAGACAGAATCTCTTTCTTGGCATGACATTTTGTTCATGAAATTAAATATTTAAGGTACTTCACAAAAGGTTATCATTGGAACTATGGAGAAAAGCAAGTATGTATTCTGTTCTTGTTCAGAAACTTTCTCATAAAAAAAGGGAGAGACATGGACATGGATTAGTGGTAGTTTGAATTGTCCACATTGCAGTGGAGGTGGTTATTGCATGCACATTTAGGCCTGGAGGACAGAGGCAAGACACTACTGTAAAAAAAAATCCATCCCTGGATGCATTTTTCAGAGTAGCTGCTTGTGAACTGTAATCTTAATGGTCAATTTAAAATTAGTCAATTGACTTTTCAATCCTTTGATGAAACCCAGGGCAGACAGAAATATGCATAACCCAAGTGTTATAGTACATTATTTTTTATTTTTGGAGGCAGGCTGGACAAAGTTCCTCTAGCCACTACTTGGGACCAAGGGAGTGACTTTTGACAAGTGAAACCATCAGAGGATAATTGTTATACAGGGTGATCATAATGTCCCAATCTATTTTATTGTTAAACTCATGCAAAAAACATGCAAAAAAATTAAAGGGGGTTATGTCAAATTATCCTGAAGCCAACATTCTGTTCGATCCTTGGCCAATCCAATGGTTCAGGAACTTCTCATTAGATAATCTAGCACAATGTTCACGAAATGAAATTTGGGCTTCAAGATCCCCTGAGCTAACTCCCTTTGACTTTTTTGCATGGGGGTACATTAAGTCAAAGGTTTACAGCACAAAGGTTCTCAATGTTGAAGATTTAAGAGATTGTATCTATGCTACTGTTAACACCATAATCCCTGACATGGGGAACATCCTGAATGTTCAGGGAAACAACGGATCAATTCCAGTTATGTATCAATTTGAAAGGTAATCATATGTAACTTCAGTGAAAAGAAAAATTTAATAACTAATTTTTAATTTACTATCACCAGTTTTATTTAGTTCCTTATTGACAATGTACATTATGCATTTTTGTAAGAATTTTGAGTTTATCAATAAAACAGATTGGGAATTTATGATCACCCTGTATTAAGACTTTGGAAGGCATAATCTTTTAGCATTATATTGTTAATGATCTAATACATGGGGTCTTGTATGCTAGAGATTTCCACTTTTCAAAGTCAAAAACACAAACCATTTAACTGCTGACTTTTAAATAGCCAGGCACCCTGCCAGTACTAAGTTTTCAGCATGCTCCCTGTTGTAGGGCTTTAGAAAAGATGCAGAGGTCAATGTTTATTCAAATTTCCTTATGAATATCACTTAGTCTTTTCCTACAGTTTCTTTGTCTACCATTAGATGTCCACCAGTCTACTAAACATGCCTGTCGAGTATATTGGACAGCCAAAGCAAAAAGGTAAATTTTCATTTTAGTTGGGAGAACGTATGCATTATTCTCATATTAATTGTAGCAATATTTTTTATGAAATGATAGAGTCAATCAAACCACTTATGCCAATTATTTTGGATAGTCTTCCTGGCACAGTACCATGTCATACTGTCACAACACAATACTGTACCAGGTTTACAGTATTAGATGGTGTTTGTTTTGCCCAGGATTTGATGAGTTTGTTATATTTCAGCCAAGGTCATGGAATGCATGGCAGGAAAGGCTGCAGCTATGCATGGCCATGTCTATGATGCCCAGCCTTTTCGATTCAATGAAAAGCAAACTGCTGCTGACTATTATGGAAAACTGCTTGAAATGGGTATGCTTCTGAATTTATTTGTGTTCTTTTCATCGACTGAGTCTTGCAAAATTGATGAATATAGTGCCTTTTTTGGTATAGCTGGATTCAATTACTATGGGACAGAGACAATGTACTGTGGAACATCTGGAGAAGCCATGCCAGCTGACATCTTCTTTGGTGTTATTCATTACCAGAGGCTACGACACATGGTTCTGGATAAATGGCAGGTATGAACCTAACTTATGGTGACAAACCTCCCTTGTACAGAGAGATTAAGGATAAAGAATGAACATGGCTCTATATAGGTTAGGAGCACAGGAGCAGTGAATGCAGTCACCCATCAACCAGTGGGAGGGCGAAAAAGGGGTGGAGGTGTTCGTTTGGGAGAGATGGAACGAGATGGACTCATTTCTCATGGTGCTTCCTTTCTTTTGCAAGATAGGCTCTTTGAAGGCTCTGACAAATCTCTGGTATGTTTTCTGTTCTACCTGAAGTGCATTCCATCAGAATGTATAGCACCATTCCAGAATTCACTTGTAATGACTTAGAATATGAGAACCCTGTATCCCATCAAGATCTATGCCTTGACATTTCCTTTTGGGTCAGGGGAGTTTTTCTGTAAATGTCAGAGCAAAAGAGTTTGATAAATATCATGGAGCAGAAACTTTGGATGTGGAAGCAGCATTCTGGTGTCTTTTTGTCTCAAGATATATGCATCAATTGGCCTCAGAGCATTTGTCAAGGAAATTTCCAATGACCCACTCACAAAACTCTTGGCATATCAACACAATTGTGCTAAGCTGAAGGAGCATAACAAATGAAAGGTGTGCACCAGTAGCTAAGATGTTTATAGGTGAGCCATTGATAATTTGACCCTCAAAGAGAATATTTGAGTCTCATTTTCTGCCTCTTTGAGCATACCTTGTGTGGTGGAACACCAAGCAATGGAATGCTACAAGGGTCATCTCAAAATTTCTAGAACATTTTATTTTACATCAAGTCAAAACGCCAAATGCAGCATTATTCCAAGTGAACTTTATCAATATACTTCCCACACACTTCTGCCACCATTCTATCAGCTTTTAGAGTCCTTCATCGAACCAGTTTGCTGGGGTCACTTTGGACCCGATCATCTTCCATAGTAGTAAAATATAGGTCTACTTAAAAATGTGATATTTTTACAACAGGAAAGAGCAATTATACTATCATTCCTACATTAGCACCATGAGACATCAATATGAACACTATGATGAGACTATTGCTGTCAGGTCACATGCAAAGAAAATATTCACACTTGTTCCCAAACTTTTGGGATAACCCTCATACAAACCAAAGTTCTTGCTTTTCAATGGTATTTGTCTGTTTGTTTCATTCCTTCTTGTTCAAATGTTATTGATGGATGTAAGAGTCACAATCCAAGATCAAAAAAGAAAAGGAAAAGCCTCTTCCGTGATATCTTAGCTTGCTCATCCATGGTCCACTTCTCCCCCTTTCCTACTAACAGACCTCTTGGTAATAAGACAAAAAGTTCTTTGGTGTCCAAGAGGGAGATTAAATAGGCTTACTAACTTAAGAGTTTATGGACATAAGGTCTTATTGATTCCATAGTTTTTCATCTATTTAATATCATGAGAATCATACACAAGCTATGCACTGGTAATCTAGTCCAAGGTGGGAGTTCAATCTATTTCACTGACACCAAATTTTCTGAATGCATGGTGACAAAAAACTTCAATCACTCCTCCTTTTCAGGAAGGAAGCCTACTAGCCACGTCAACACTTTGATTTGATGGTTGAGCTTTTACACATTTTGTTCCTAAATTGACAGTCAAGCATTTTCCTGTAAAATGCTGGAAAGTTGCATTAACATCTTAAAATAATGAAGTTGACTATTTTAATATTATATTTGAACTCCTTGAAAACCTTCTTAGTGAGTTACTCAATAGGAATACGTAAAACAAACTTACACGTCTTGGCATACGTACCAGGGTTCATGTTAACTCGCTATAGCAAGTCCCTGACTCATTTTCTTGCGTATATGCTAAACATCTAAGTCTGTAGGACTCATTGACAACCACCTCAACATGTTCCCACTGAGCTGAAGCTAGGCACCAGGATTCAAGATTTAAAAAAGCTAGAGTGAACCCTGGGTACTACTACACTGGCAACTGTGAAAGAATTAATCTCATGGAAAAGCTAATCAAATGTGGGTGCCAAACTATCCTTTTTTTTCATCCACCATAGTGCTGTTTAACCTTCTTAATGCCAGAACCTCCCTCCCTCCTCATGTGCAGACCAAACAGCACTGTATCATCTGGCACTAAAAGGGTTAACTTCTCATCCTCAGCTTGTCCAGACATTGACATGTTGCTGATTTAAGAAAAATTGTGGAAAGTTGTGTGTCTAAGGACTGTTGAATAAGAAATATATGTACCATTTGTTTCCCTCTTTAGGAATTCTTCTGTTTTGAGTGTGGGAGCCTCTTGACAGTGTGCAATCCAATACCGAAGGGCAGTACTCTCCAGGAAGATTTCCCCAAGTGCCTAAAATGTGATACTACTGACACTGTTACTGTCTTGGAGATCCCATATGTGTTCAAGCTCCTCTGTTCCCAACTGGCAGCTGCAAATGTCAAAGTCACTCTCTCTACTAAAAGGAAATGATCTTTAGCTATTGAGTCAGTTGCATTGTTGGAAATGAAAGCATTGGTGGTGATTTGTATCAATTCACTCAATGAACACAAGGGTTGTTCCAAAAGTTTTGCAACTCTAATACTTTCAGAAACTCTGTTTATTCCAAACTGTTACTGCTTCACAAAGTATCTTTCATCAGCTGATATACATAGTTTCAGTCCACTGAACCAGCTTTAAAGTGGGTTTTAAAGCATTTATGGTGAATAAGGTTAACACCTGGTTCACTACACCTGAAGGCTCCTCTCTCTGGACTTGAATATTCTTCCCTTCAGTGGCTATTTCATTTTCTTGAAGGGCCAGAATTCACATGGACCTAAATCTAGAGGATGTATGGAGCGAGATGTGTCTGAACTCCAGATTCCTTTAAAAAAAAAAACTTTTTTTCTGATGGTTCAATTTGCTGGATTATTGTTCTGATGAAGGGGGTTTCTTAAATATTAGTATTATACTTGGTCCTTGTTTTATCTGAGCTTTAAACACGTAAGCATCTGCATATCAACCTAAAGTAACTGAATGCCCCTCATGATTGAACTTCTAAATGTCATGCATGTTCTTTTCCAACTTGCCGTTCTTCATTTTGAAGCACCCACATCATGCTTTGCCTCTTAGTGAGAGGGTCATGATGGTAGAACCAGGCTTCTTCACTTGTGATGAAGTCATTCAGTTGCTTCAACCTCCCTTTATCGAAATTCTTCAGCATCAAGCAGCAAAAGTCAAAGTAGTTTGCTCCTCAGCCTTCATTCAGATGATGAGGAATGTTATGAGGAAAAAATCCTCTATATCTGAATATTTTTATGAATAATTTTCATAATTGCTATTGGTGCCATTCCCACACTTCTCAGTACATCTACCGACATGCGATATAAGACATCCCTTATTTGTGATGTCACAGCATCAACTTTTACTTCCTCAGATGCTAACACCTTGTGACCTAATTTTTGTATTGTCTTTGAAACCCTCCCTTCTCAACCTGAAGATATAGCACCACCAAATGACTATGCTATATGCAAGAGCACAGCCTTCTAGTACTGTTTCCATCTCATCATGGTAGTACTTGGCTTATAAACTTTGAGGTTATAGAAAATGATGACCTGGAGATCATCTCTTCCTAGAACTGGAGCTTAAGCCATCACCTTTCCAACAGGTGGCAAACCTTTCTAATATAATGTTTCTCCAATATTCTATATATGGCAAGCATTTTTTTACAATTTGGTTTACAACCTTCTGGGACTTAGAAGAAACTACAGGATTAAAAACACAGCCATTGGAAAGTCCATAGTGAATCAGTTGCAAAACTTCGGAACCACCCTTGTATCCTCTCCCTGTCTTGATCAATGAGTGCTGTCTGGAGTTTCCACAAGCATTTAAAAAAAAAACAATTAAATCACAGATTGGATTGAAACAAAGTTGCAGATGTTGCATCTCATGTTTCCACAACTTGGCATTCTATCATGAATGAGCAGCCTACATGTCAGTATGGCAGGAAATGACTTATTTACTGGAAACAAAGGTACAGTCCAAGGAATGGCAGGATTCCATGATGTTAATGCCTGTCTGCTTTATGACAATGCCCACCCACACAGTGTTCAAAACAATGCAAATTATCACCAATTTTCAGTGGACTGCCAGCCATACATTCTATTACCCAGGAATAGCCCTCCAACTACTATCAGTTTGACCAATTGAAGGGCCATTATTGTAGAAGAGACTTCGTCAATGGTAGAGATCTTTAAAATGTGGCAAGACAGTTACCGAGATACAAGCTTCAACTGAAGCTTGTATCTCGGTATGGGTGTCAACTCCAATCAATCAGTCAGGGGGCCACATTTCTTACCCTGTAGATGCCTGTGGGCTACACCCATAGGATTAGGGCTGTAATAATAGATTGATGGATTGATACCACTATCGATGGTTGGAGGTATCAAAAGTTTTTTCGACCATCACAATGTATCGACAAGATTTTAAAGGGGCAATGTCCCATTGGATTGTGGCGAGTACAGTACAATACAGTCCATGCGTGCAGGGAAAGGAAGACACAGTGTGATCCGCATGGGCTTGCAATTTCTTATCATGATCCAATTCTGGATGATGGGATGATGGGACTATATGATGGGAAGGAAAAAAAAAAGTTGGATTGGAGATAGGAAGTGGAAAAGGAGATGGAGGGAAGACAGATTTTTTTTCTCACATTTCAGTCTTCAGCTAGATCTTATCAGTTCACCTTAAGGTGAACCCAAATTGAATTTTTTACATGGATGTTGCATATTCTAGGGCTGTAGGGATGTTTTGGCAATTGCTGGCATGACACCATTGGCAGGTTGCTATCTGCTGGTGCCAATGTGCAAAGAAGACTGTAGCATGAAGAAAAAGAGAAAATATATATCATGTACAGGGTAGGCAACTGATTCTCAACAAATGCATCCATCAATGAATGGATGTTATCTTTGATATTTGGAAGCATGGCAGGTTTCATTGCTCATTGTGAAGGTCACACCTTCCCCCTGCACCCCTGATCACAAGTGAGAGATTATGGAAAACAAAAGAGGTCTTCCCCCCCCCATACATCAATACCCTATCGATAATTCATGTCAATGCATCGATGTTTTGAAAACTGCTACCATGACAGACCTACATAGAATTGTGTGGGGGGTGCTGAGAGTCAATCCAGGTTGAAATTTCAAGAACAGACAGTGGGCAGATGAATCACCTCTATGGGCCATGTTTGACACCCTGGTTTACACAATTGTTAGTCTCCAGGTGATGGGAAGTGTTATCAAACCATAGTGATTATTTTGAGGGCTATGGGATAGGGGATGTCTTTGTGCAATAATGTTGGTTGCAATATAAACAATGGTTTAATTTTCTGAAATGTCAGCAGCAACCTTCCAGACAGCCCTCATATTTTGCATCCATGACTGAAACTTCAATTGGATGTTTTGGACCAAAAAGTGGCAACGGGATTTAACACGTTGATGACCAGCCTATTTTTGCTTGTCGGCTGCGTGGAACCACGCGCATTTTTTAATAAAAAAAATGCGTCCTGCCATCAGGACGCATGGTCCCAGAAAACATTTTTTGCCGAGTTTTTTTTAAATGTTGAATTTTTTGGCATTTTTATCAGTAATTACGAAATCATAATCTTCTGGAACGTGTGATCGCTAGATACTCTTGGAACGTTCTCAACAGTTCCAGAGGGTATTCATTGAAAATGAAATCTGCATCCTGGCATCAGGACGCATTGTCACCAATGTGTTAACTTGATCATGCAACTTTTTCACGAGTCAAATGAATACAACTAAATAATAATGGTAGCAGTACTGTCATGTGATTGTGATACTAGAAGCAGTAATTTTATCATCACTATACTGGCCGCAACAAAAGTATGTTCAGAAATGAGACAATGTAGCTGAACTTCAAAACAATTTCAAATCAATGACTGAATGAATTGGGGAAACCCCATTCATAGGAAGAAAAGATGCATAACTTGACACTAATGTTAAACTAAAGGGTTTGCACAGTCCCCATTCACATGCTAATTCTAGTCACTCTCATGATGTGGCTTGTTCTAGGTAGGCTATCAAATCTGCTCGTTCCTGTGGTTTTTTGAGCCCTGCAAACACCATCTTCGTTCCTGGAATATACTTCTTGGGGTTCTCCAGGTATTCAAAGAGTGTCTCCTTGCCCCATGTGATCCCTAGTAAATGAAAGCAGCATTGAAATATTATCAGATTATAGCTCTAGTACAAAGACACAAATCTATGGATGATATTGCGTATTGCACAAAGATTGCATTTGTTACCCTAAATGTCGACTTCCATCAAATGGAGCCAACATCTGTCTAAGAGAAGGAAAATGTGACGTTTTATCACATGAGCTGCATATGTCTGTGGTGTCACTTGACCTTTGGGAATTTCTTTACATCACTAAGAGTTCAATAGTTCCATTGATAACCTATGCATGAGTGATGTCAATGACAATCTAAAACATAACAATGTTAAGAGACCTCAAGCCAGTTTTCATGCTGACTGTGTACCTCCTGTGTACTACTCAGTACCCAATGGTCAAGCTGGTGCGACTACAAATTTAACTGAAGACAGTGCATCAATGAAGAATCCAAAAATTGTGCAAACTTGAAAGTGACTTAAATAGCCCTTTCTTAATGCCTTGGTGAAAGCAGACATTTTAATAACTAATTCCACCATTATTATCAAATCAACTAACTTTATTTCACTTGTTGAGGATTTTTCATTTTCCCAAACTGCCACTTTAAAACAGGTTTTCAGACAATGTAAGTTTTATTCTGCCTATTCACATCATGCATTAGAGTTAAGAAATATGCAGACAAGTAATTTGAAAACATAACCTGCAGGAATTATGAGTATATGATAACTTCCTCACCTTTGTTCTTGTTGGCATCTGTGTAACTGAATCCAGCAGCTTGTCCAGTTTTTCGTCCAATGATACCATGAAGATTTGGTCCTGTTTTATGCTTTCCACCTCCTTCTACTGTGTGGCACTGGGCACATCTTTGAACAAACAGCTGTATGAAACAAGATTAAAAAAGAAGTTCAGAAGAAGTATTAAAAAATTTTTTTAAGGCATATTTTAAAAAGACTCCATTCTTTCCCTGAGAAGATATGATTCAGGCCTGTTTCATGGCTACTACCATATGAAAACAAAATAGTTAAAAGACATCCCTTTCTTTCAAGCTACATTTATACTATACAATTGGAAACACATAACATCAAGGAGTAAAAATAACTCCAGTGTGTGACAAACAAAAGACCTCTTACTATAGTATGGCTAAAAAAAAAAAATATTTTTATTTAGTGCATTTTCTGAGTGCAGTAAATCTGTTCAGAAAAAATACAGGGTGTTTCAAAAGTCTGTACTCATGGGTATTTTGAATTAATTAAATTTCTCAACGAACGAGTGCACCAAAATTAGTACAGAAGTACTAAGAAATATTCAGAGGGGGTTATGTGCCAGGATTGATATGTGTATGCAAGTTCATGGCATGCAATTTGAACATTTAATGAAATAAAGGTAAATTAGAAAATCTGACTATGAATCTGGACTTTTGAAACACCCTGTATTGTGAGGAAATTGGAATCCATCTCTTTATGTAATGACATTACTTGTCGAGATCAGCTGATTCAGTCAAAAGTTACTAAGGTGCATAGATCATGTGAGTCAAGTGAACACAGCTTCAACTGGAGACAGTAGGGCTCTATTAATAGAAACAGCGAGCTTGAGTACACTCGGGCAGTAGTTGCAACCTCATTGTTGAACAGGAGAGTGGTGGTTAATTTGAATTGACTCTCTGCCAGCAATTTGATTTTGCTTCTCGTTATAAGTGCAGAATATATAGTGGACTGTTAGTAGCTGTTGTTTGTCTTGTAAGAATTTCTAAGTTGTGCTTGTAAACAGGCTTCATTTCTCAACTGAAGACAAGGTTTTAAAATTCCTTCACATCAATAAGGGCTCACTGATAGCTGAAACAATGGCTCAACTGTGAGCAGATGAACACCAAATGTGTTTGCCCAATTATTGAAGGAACTGAATTTTCTCAGAACAGCTGCTTTTCAGGAATGGTATCTAATTGAATTTTGAAAGAGCTGTCATATAGAAAATGTTCACATAGGTAGGATCCCTGGACTCTGAATCCAATGGGCATCTCCAGTGCTTTCAGACATGTCCACCTAACAGACACCACATTCCATGGCTGTAACTTTGGAATCTATCAACCAATATATTTAATCCTTTCATGCATGAATTTTTAAAGCAAAGTAAAAATATGCCTTTTTTGGTTTAACATTTAAGGAGGTACTCTGCCTTAGTAGTCACATGTTCCACTGCTAGAAAGCAACACCAAACAGATTATGTGCCCTTGATTTGAATGCATGCTCCAAAAGTTTTGAGGCATGTGTACCAAGGCTGAAAAACCATCTTCATAGTTAAAAATGTTGCCATCCACTACAGTGGACACCATGCACAAAAGGGTCAATGAAACTGAGATTGTGCAAAGGGTGACCTTTGAAATTGATTTATACAATTTCAGTCAAATTAGTCCTGGCAAAGCAAGACAATGGGTGAACATTCAGATGAAATCAGATACTGGATGATGACTCCAGTCCCTACTGAATGAATTCCATTTTTGACCCTGAAAAGCCACAATGTTAAGAGACTGAAGTGACAAAAAAAAACAGCATAGTGCAGGTGTGCACTTAAAAACTTAGCAGTCAAAGGGTTAGGGTAAAAGTCAGGTTTCAGTATGCTCCCCTTTGAAATAGCTCCCTCAGCTTGCAATACTCTTCTCCTCACATTTGTAAAGAGCATGGAACACTGGCTGTAAGCCATTCTTGGCAACCACCTTCAATGCATTGGTTGCAGCCTTTCAGATGGAACTTCATCTGGGAAACAGCATTTAGTCACAAGGTCTGGTGAATAAGGAGGATGTGGGAGCAATTTCATTCCATGATTGGTTAAAAATGTTATGGTTTTCACTTTGTTGATGCAGGCACTCTCCCATCAGCTACAGCTAACATGTTGAAGGTGGTTGCCAAGACTGGCTTACAGCTAGTGTTCCATGCTCTTTACAAATGTGAGGAGAAGAGTATCGCAAGCTGAGGGAGCTACTTCAAAGTGGAGCATTATGAACCATAACTTGTGTACCTAGTTCATACATACAAGTCAGTCATGGAACTTTTTGATGGGTCCTTGTATGAATCAATCATGTAATTCAGGGATTTTATCCATTACAGTGACCAAGCAACATTGCAGGAGCAATCCAGAGTTGTTTGAAACTGGCAATGACATTTTGAATCTTTCTAATTGATTTGCAATAATTGATTGATATTATGTCAAGACATGTGTAGTCTCTTTTAGAGGCTAGAGGGGTAGCCAGCCACTATCAGACCCTACTGTTGATCATATTCCTGTATAGTGAGACAGTAAAATGATAAAACTAACTAGTCTGTATCAGTTTACAATAAAACTAGCAAGGTTCAACCACAGCGAATACTATTAGGTGCAAATTGTTAACTTGAATGTGACATTTACTGGCAAAAACCTTTCTTTCTTTTGGGCCAGAAGTCTATATTGACTACAACACATTCTGCGAGTATCACAGCATTGTGCTTCCATAGGAACCAAAATGCCTGCCTCATCTTTCATAAGGCCTACCTTTTTCCCTCTTTCTGCATCTCCAGCAGGTATGTCAGCAACCATGGTGAGCGAGTGATTGCACTACTAAACAGTAGCTACAGCACCTGCGTAGAGATGAAAGTGCTGTCAATGGAAACAATATAAGATTCTGTTAGTAACTATCCTAGGCCTACACTCTTATAAATTACAGAACCACTTGTCAAAAGAAATAGCAGCCCTTGAACTTTGAACCACCATGATAAATTGAGCTGAATCTAGTCTCGTCATTAGGGCAGACAACTGAAAAATGCCAAGTAAAGTGACAGGTCTAAATGACTGATACAGGCTATTTCAGAGTCTTTCAAGCTTCTACCCCTTGCGGGATGATATCGACTAACGTTTGATTCCCGGGGAAATGAAGTACTTAAGTACACTTTATCCTCTATCCTGCATGTAAAGGTGAGGGCTTCGGATGGGTTGTCACAAGTTTTTTGCGAAATATTTGACTAAAATCTCAATTTTCAGACGAGTAAAAGGCACCGCCAGTTAACGTAAGTACGCGAAAGTCGACCCGTGCACGAATTTGGTCGGAATTCCGGTTCACTTCACGGACCTCGCCATTATAATGTCATATTGCCCTCTGTGTCTTCGTCGTCGAATCCGTGTTTTAAGCTCTATTGCATTTCAATGCTTCTCGTGATATCGTTACTAATGATTCAAAGGCTTTCAAGCTGATATTGTAAATCACAATCCAACTTTTACAGATATAACGCACTCACAACCCTGCGTGAAGCATTCGTTCATTATGGAGCTTCTCTTGTGCAGCACGTCATTGTACTAAGGAAACAGGCTCGACTTTCGCGTATTTACTATACATGTCAAATATTTGAAGTTAATATGCAAGGCATCTTGGAACCAATGAGCTCCGCTATTATTTAGAGACACCGTAGTCGAGCTCAGGACGGAATTACGCACTGATACCGATCCAAAGAAACATGCCTAATGTTTAAGCCCATGGAACAGTCTTAATTTCAACAAAATAAAAACTAAAAGTCATAACTTCGTCAAACAGACCAAGCCCCAACATGAGCAAATCTCAGTCGTGCGCTGTCCACCATATTTCGCCTAGCAACTGAAACACTACACCCAAGCTTGAACTCTAATTACGACTCGTAAAAGAAAATTTAAAAATAAATTTAAGAGGCCCTCGATGGCCGAAAACCAAGTCAAGAACGCCGACAAGCGATCTCAGGTACTTAAAACAAGCACCATGTTGACAAAATGGCCTCGTCCTCAATAAATGGATGGTGTCATCTCTACTGCAGCGCGTGCGCACTCACGTGTCTCTCCCCTTGCCTTGGCATCTTGACTCCACGTAAAAGTGTTGCTCTGGTTGCGTAACGTCGAAGCCAATTCGATAAGTTTCATCACATAAGGTTGAAAAAGCATAACGTCAAAATGCGTATAGTCGAAATGGAATTTTCAGAAATAAAGTTAAATTAAAGATAGCGGCCATGTTTTTTTTTTCAAGATTCAAGACAGTGATATCAAGAGGCGATTTCACCCATTTCGATATCACGTGTCGAGGTCGAGCGTTCC